TGTGTGTGTGTGTGTGTGTGTGTGTGTGTGTGTGCACTGTGAGGACCGTTAAAAACAACTTGGGCTCATGAAAGATGAATCACCCTGGATTAGGGTGTACAAACTCATAAATGAATTATCTATTTTGACTGATTTACTGAAGATGGTTCTAAAGATGGTAAAAATGTCCTATTATGCATGCTTATCACTTTACATTACAGGAATAATGTTTTGTGATTTTACCTATATTTTCTCAATCTCAATAAATCAGTGCAAAAAACTGGAAAAAATGTACAAACCATATGAGTATATCATCATTTTGTTGTGCTATTTTTTTAATCGTCGTGCCTTAGGTTTTACACGCAAAAAAGGACACTAGTTAAATGCTACTTAATGGATGACGATAAAAGTGGAGTTTTAAAATAATTAGCACCATTTAATTGCAAATCTATGTACTTGTCATAGCAGGCTATTATCTTATCTCCCCCTCCTCTAATTAAGCCACATCATTGGTAATGTAATTAAAACATTCAGCCACGTCGTAATTAAGGAGGGGGTGTCTCGTTTGTTTAATGTGGTCACGTCTATATAGGAAGAGATAATTGTTATGATGTAACGAAACACTTCGAGGTTAAAGACTCGTGGAGAACAATGCGTGTTGGATTTTGTTTTGTTTTTCCTTCTCCTGTGTGGCTGTAATTGTTCTGAACACCTCCCTGTATTTCTCCACACACACACACACTCACACACACACACACACACACACACACGTAGCAGGTGTAACAACGGTCATCGTCTTTGACAGATTGTGAAATTATCCCTCAGTCTCTTTCAACATGTTAATAATATATCATCTTAAGAAATCTACATTAATTTCTCCCCCGGATCTCTTGTGATTATTAAGTGTGGTCTTATCCTAATTATACTCCACACCTCCTCACCCTGGTGTGTGGCCACAGCTTGTGTCTCGCTCCGTTCGGGTCTGAGAGCATTTGAACGGAGGTTACAGATGTTCCAGCTGCGTGCAGGCGTGAGAGGCGCTGCTCTGTTCGTGAAGGACCGTACATGTCAGCTCCTGTTTTGTTGTTGTGATGCACAGAGACATTTACTATGTCCCCACGGCGGCTACACAACAACAAAAAATTCTTTTTTTTTTTGCTTTACATCGCAAGAGAGCCATCAAGCTGCAGCAACGTGTGTGTCTCCCCCCAGCGGGACAACAGGCGCTGCTGGAGCCACCTCCAGACACCGGGAGACAGGGATCAGGCTGCAGGAGACATCAAGGAGTAATCAGTGTCTGCTCATATATACCGACAGACTGATTTATGATGAAACTTTAAAGAAATCATTTATATTTCACCACCTCTAAATCGGCGTATGAAATTTTCATCCACAATGAAACACACACACACACACACACACACACACACACACACACACACAAAAGTATATCTTAAGTCAAATAAATCAGCCCAGCGCTTCACCCAACTTATTAACTTTGAAGTGCGTTTTCAACACTTTAGCAAGTGTGTCCACGTACCTGAGACTCTGACTTCCTATGGCAGCAGCTTTTAGAGGGAGGACACAGTGTCAGGAAAGTGTTTGACCTAATGACTTTTGACAATGAAGTGTCAATACCAGCTATTTGATTTAAATCCTTAACGGTGTGTAATAGTTTTATATATGCAACATTTATTTTCAGGCACATATTGGCAACAATGGCACAGTTTATATGCTGCATTATAATTTCATCCTGAATAATTTAACAGTAAAAAATAAATAAATAAATAAGTATGACTCTTAGCCAGGCTTTATTGGGGAAAGAGAATGCACGGGTTGTAATTTCATTTCAGAATTATTTTTGAATTATTTGAAATCTGAAAAAGGCCACAAAATTAGAAAAATTGTTACACCCTCGATGTTGAGCATTTTTGATTGTGTCACCTCTTTAAATTTCAGCCAGATGCTCTTCCTGTTTAGAATTTATTTTTTATTTTTTTGCTTTTAAATTTGTGTCATCACACTCATACAGTAATTGGAGGCAATGTTGCCATCATAAAAAGACTTGTCTCACTGCTGGAAGGTGCAGTCACATACCTTGCCTTGAAAAACACAACACCTCAGTGGGATTGTGCAAGAGCAATATATTTCTCACTTCAAGGAGCTCTAATACGTATAAATTAATCTGTAGCGCCTAAAAATAAAAGTAACGCCAAAGTAAAATAAAGGAGCACATGCAGCGAGGCTTGATATAACTCAGGTGACTTGTTCGCTTTTTTTCCCTCCTTCTCCTCCTCCTCACTATCTTACTTACATCCGAATCAAGGAGTGCTGCAGAGGTGTCTGTGTGCTTTACACAAAGACATACTCTTCTCAGCCTCCCTCAGGAGCTCTTCACGTTAACAATCCCAATTACACCGAGACCACCAGAGACAGCTGTTTTTTATTACAGAACCGCTCCTTTGTGCCGCCAACAAGGTATCTCCGCTCCTAGACTGAACACAGAGATAAAGCTACACTGAGGAGAGGGAGAGGGGAGCGGAGTGCGGAGTGAAGTGGATGAAGTCTCTTGGCTGCTGCTGGTGATGCCTTTATTCACAGCTTCCCCCTCCCCTTTCTGATCTCGTGGAGCTCTTTACATGTCGGAGCAGAAGGTCAATGCTTGTTGGGAGAGGGGCCTCCAAAGAGATCTGGATCTAACTCAAGGCAACAGCAAATCACACAAAGGAGGAGGGGGAGTGTTTCAACCACTAACGGTGGTGCTTTATTTATTCATCTCCTTTACCTGGGAAATGTGACAGGTTCCATGAGGAAAACACTGACTTTAATGTGTTGTTTAAATGCATCCAACCAAAGCTGGAAGCCTTCAGGATTTTACTAAATGTCACATGCTCTGCTGTAGCTCTCAGCGGGAACAAGTGGCCCACCACTTGAGATAATGAAAGAGGGTTCAAACCTCTTTATATACAGTCTATGGTTCAAACACTGCATTTGAATTGCGGCACATGCGAAATAAGGGCTAATAAAATGTTTTGACCTCTAGTGTGAAGGAGAATTATGACGACACACTCCCAGTTTGGCTTAGTGGTAGTAATTCAATTTTTAAAATAACAATTTTAAGCACAGAAATCTTTAACAAACTGTTCGTCCCGACTGTAGTGACATGTATGAGAGGGAGGTCAAGTTCACCAGTGGGAAACATAATAATCAACAACACAGTGTAAGTGATAATTTGAACGCCTCTATGATACATAACCTCTGCACAGATAACATTCACATTGTACAGTTCTGTTGTGCATAGTGAAGTGAAAAGAGGTTGATATAGGGGATTTGTGTCGACCACATCCCAGCTTCACCATGAGGAATTTATTTGTCTTTACCAAATCTTAAAGCTTGATTTATATTTTTGTTGGCCACTTGGGGGCAGTGAAAGAAGACGTATAGCGACGACTTCTAAATTTACACAGCAAATGTGTTAGCAAACAGCATTTATTTGAAATTATATTGATGTCCACATGACATTAGTAAGTCCAAGATTTACCTCTGCATGTAGCTCTGTTTTGGTCATCACCATTGCTGGAGGGAAGTTTTGGGCTTTCAACTTTGGCAGAACGGTTTAAAAGCGTTTTATTGGCTTAACCTATTGATTGTGTATAAAGATGGACAATGCGTCTCCACTTCTTATCATGGTACAAAAATGAAGCTTAAATATCCTGGGTACGGCTAATTTGGAGCCAGAGTCTGCACAGTACTGATCATGGTGTTTATCCAGGTCCCACTTGCTCAGCCAACCGTGAGTCAATTTCAGTTGTCAGTCAAGACGTACAACCCAATTTTTCATAGCTTCAAATAACTAATGAGTAACGAATTAAAAACAAACATACTGAAAAATTTGAGCCTTTTAAAATGACCATCTTTGAGATTGAGATTTTCTTCGGTTGGGTCCCTGTCCAATCCACTAACATGGAGAAACAGGATTTATGACCTATACACCGGGGTGGATGAAGATGGTTTGGCTTCACTTTTGGAAGCTGGTGCATCATCTTAACTGTAAACACAACAAATTAAGCACATTTGACCACAATCCTTCTCTAAACATAAACATACTGCAATTGCCATCTGCAGAAAGTATAATAATCC